ATCTGAGGATCACAGTTCAAAGCCAGCCCGGGCAAGAAAGTCTGTGATTCTCTTATTAACCACCAGAAAACTGGAAGTAGTGCTGTGGCTTAAGTGGTAGAGCACTAGCCTTGAGCTGAAGAGCTGAGGGACAGCGCCCAGGCCCAGAGTTCAAGACCCATGACTGACCAAAAAAAAAAATGAGACGGATCTTCATGTACAATTATGAAAGAGCTCTAGTATTAATGAAGAAATTAACTTGCCAAACAGTACATAAAATTGCTTGTTATTCATGTAAAGAAAAGGAATCTATTTTCTTTGCATACATGTAAGAACATTAAGAAACCAGTAAGAAAAGTAGAGTGACTGACTGAAAGACATTGCTCCTCACAGTATACCATTTTAATATTTTTGTCAATGTTAAGCCATATGAATTCATTTTCTGTGTGTGTATGTGAGTTGTAGGATTTGAACTCTGGGCCTGGCCACTGTCCCTGAGCTCTTCAGCTCAAAGCTAGTGCTCTACAACTTGAGCCACAGCATCACTTCTAGTTTCCTGGTATTTTATTGAAGAGTCTCACAAGACATTCCTGCCTGGGCTGGCTTTGAACCACAATCCTCAGATATCAGCCTCCTAAGTAGCTAGGATTTTAGGTGTGAACCACTGGCACCCAGTTTTCTGGAAGAAGGCAGGTAGGGGAAATGGTCTGCCACATATTTCCCTGGCAAAAAAAAAAAAAGTCCTGAAGATTTCATCTTCAAAAGAACCAGCTGGACTGGAGGCATGGCTAAAGTGGTAGAGCTGTAGCTAAGCAAGTCATCCCAATGAAAGGCCGAGTTCAAATCATTAGGTCACAATATTCATTCCTAATATACTTGCAACTCAATTTATCTGGAGCAAGTCCAACATAGTACACATGTTGAGATGTATGCTAAGAACAAGCAGAATCCACTGAAGTGCAGTGTGTCAGACAAACTGGCTATAGAACCTGAAAGGCTAAATTCTAGTTCTGAACTGGTATTACCAATTCTGAAGTAGATTGTTTTATTTGCTCCCCCTTTTTTCTTTACATAGGAATTTTTTTTCCCAACCATCACCTTTGTTATATTTCTGGTAATAGTTAAAAAAATTTAACTATATATAAAATCATTTTTAAAAATAACATTCAAAAACCTTTTCACCTTTAAAGTAAACCAATAAGTGTCTGGAAGTTAATACAAAATATGGAAGCATGTGCATTTTTTTTTTTTTTTTTTTTGTCGGTCATGGGGCTTGAACGCTGGGCCTGGGTGCGTCCCTCAGCTCTTCAGCTCAAGGCTAGCGCTCTACCACTTGAGCCACAGCACCACTTCCGGCTTTCTGGTATTTTATTGAAGAGTCTCACAAGACATTCCTGCCTGGGCTGGCTTTGAACCACAATCCTCAGATCTCAGCCTCCTGAGTAGCTAGATTACAGGCGTGAGCCACCAGCACCCAGCAGCATGTGCATTTTTGTACTTGTATTTATTTATTTATTTATTTTTGGGTCCGGTCATGGGGCCTGAACTCTGGGCCTGGGCGCTGTCCCTCAGCTCTTCAGCTCAAGGCTAGCGCTCTACCACTTGAGCCACAGCACCACTTCCGGCTTTTTTCTTTTTGCTTATGTGGTGCTGAGGAATCGAACCCAGGGCCTCGAGCATGCAAGGTAAGCGCTCTACCACTGAGCCACCTTCCCAGCCCCTGTACTTGTATTTAGTATTAATGCCGAAATTCATTGTGGTGCTAGGAACCAAACCCAGGGCTTTAACCTTGCTAGGCAAGTGATTTGTCATTGCAAGTGATCTATCATTGACCTACATTGAAACCTATGCATTGATTTATTTATAAAAATACTCATTAAGGGCTGGGAAGGTGGCTCAGTGGTAGAGCACTTGCTTTGCATGCATGAAGTCCTGGGTTCAATTCCTCAGTACCACATAAGCAGAAAAAAAAGCCGGAAGTGGTGCTGTCGCTCAAGTGGTAGAGCGCTAGCCTTGAGCTGAAGAGCTGAGGGACAGCGCCCAGGCCCAGAGTTCACGCCCACAACCGGATTCCCCCCCCCCCAAAAAAAATACACATTAAGCTGGGTGCTGGTGACTCACACCTGTAATCTTACTCACATGGCTAAGATTTAAGGATCACAGTTTAAAGCCAGCCCAGCCAGAAAAGTCTGAGACTCTCATCTCCAATAAACTACTCAAAAAAAGCCAAATGTGGCATTGTGGCTTAAGTGGTAGAGCCTTGAGCATGAAGAGGCTCAGGGACAGCGCCCAGGCTAAGTTCATGCCCCAGGATCCGTTTAAAACTAACAAGCAAACAAAAACTTGAGTGTACTTACATGTTTAAAGAGTGAAGAAAGAAATAATCTATGACTTATTTTTTAAAGAGGTGCACAAAAAAATTCAAAATAGCATAGCAACCACATATTTTCCATAGAATTAAATCCCAATAAAATTACTTAGTTCATTTCTCTAAATTTTATCTACCATTAATTTTTTTTGGGGGGGGGGGGTCAGTCGTGGTGCTTTAACTCTGTCCCTCTACTCTTCAGCTCAAGGCTAGGGCTCTACCACTTGAACCACAGCGCCACTTCCGGCTTTTTCTGTTTATGTGGTGCTGAGGAATTGAACTCAAGGCCTCATGCATGCAAGGCAAGCACTGTATCACTGAGCTACCTTCCCAGACCATATGAATATATTTTGTAGAATACGCTATAGGGCTGGGAAGGTGGCTCAGTGGTAGAGCTCTTGCCTTGCATGCATGAGGCCCTGGATTCGATTCCTCAACACCACATAAGCAAAAAGAAAAAAAAAGCCGGAAGTGGCGCTGTGGCTCAAGTGGTAGAGCGCTAGCCTTGAGTTGAAGAGCTGAGGGACAGCGCCCAGGCCCAGAGTTCAGACCCCACTACCAGACCCCCCCCAAAAAAGAATATGCTATAACCAAATAGCACAAGAAAATATTTTAATGTTTATCATGATGATCATCATCATATCCTTAAAAATTTTGAATATATCTAGCCACTGGATAAGAGGCCTTGTTTCCATATAGCTTGCTATGTGGTCACTATATGTTTCCATATAGTTTGCTATATGGTCACTAGGGTGTGCTATTGGCACCATTATCAGTCACCCTATCAGTAAAGCCTTGTTTGATTGAGCTGGGGATTGAACCCTAAACATTATTTTATCATGTAGTTGCTGTAGGCCTGAGTTTAACAGTAGGTTAGCTGAGTGATAATGGCTTGAAATGTCTGACTTTCATCTGAAGGCTTGGTTGGAGTTAAAGGATCTATATCCCAGGATTATCTACAGATCTTGCTAATTGAGAAGGGGGAGGGGAGAGAAAAGAGGGAGAGAGAGAGGATGAAGAGAAAGATCAAAGGGGATTCCAGAAATCTAGGACTTGCTCCTGAATAATATATTACCTCACCAATTATCCTAACTGAAAAAGTATCTCTGGGGACAGATCAAAATTCTTAAGTGGACAAGACTGGAGAGTGGAGGGGGGAAGGAGGCTTTTATTGTTGGACGCAATTTCAATGAATGATTTTTCCATACCAACTTTAATTATAAAGCAACAATATTTATAGAAACGAATCCTTTCCTCAATTCTGTGAACTATATATCCCCTTAGACAATGTACTGAGGGGTGGGGGGGGGGAGGCGTAGGTTGTGGGTTTAATCAATAGAAACAATTTGGCAACTTCTTTGCGTTTGGACAACAGGAGCTGTATCATCAATTACCTTTCATGTAAATTTCATCCATTTTTCTCCAAGAACATGGACCTGACAGAGGCGCCTAAAAAAAAAAAAAGCCAAGATGCGGCGGCATTTCCTGAAGAAAACAGTTCTGAAGGAATGGATATAGGAATGCACATTTTCTACTAGGAATCAGCTTTAACGATAATGTCATTTGAGAGGAAAGAGAGAGGAGGGGGGGGGAGAGGAGGAGGGAAAGAGGGAGGGAGAGAGGGAGAGAATCCCTTGCATCCATTAGCTCCATGAAAAACTCCTCGGAGTCCCGGTTAATTCGGGATCTCGAAAGAGCCAGGGCCATTGGGCGACTTTTCTGGAAGCTGACTTGGCTTACTTTTTCACACGCGCACACACACACACGCACGGCTGATAACTAAATACAAAGCCTCACACCCAGTACCTAACCTCGCCGGCTCGGCCCTCCGGGGTGTTCGGCCGGGACCCCCGCGCCGGGCCGCGGCGCGTCGGCTCGCTGACGCTCGGGGTCCGGACAGCGGAGTCCGGTTCTTCCGGTGCCTCCGGGGCGCCGGTCCACCCCCGCCCCGCACCCCGGTGGGCCTCTCCCCCACATCTCGCGGGGATCAGCTTCGGGGACGGCGCCGATCCCCCACCGCATCCCCCGCCCTCCTCACCCCGGTTCCGAGGAGACCGTCGACCGCCACCCGGCATCTATTTACCAGTCGGGGCCTTTCCGTGCGACCGCCTCCGAGTGGTAAAGCCCCCACGTGACGAAGCCGTTCCGACTTTCTTCCCTCCCCCGCCCCCCGCCCCAAATCCCAACCTCGGAGGTCACAACCATGCCTCCGTAACGGAGTTAACCGCCGCCGAAGCCGGAGAGAACACCTCCGCGCGCCCGGCCAGTCTCTCCGCCTCCTCCTCGGCGGGCGGTTGCGGCGCCGACTGGAACTACCAGGCCCAGAATCCCCCGCGCGCATCCTCCGCACGCACGCGCGTTGCCATTGTGATGCTCCTTTCCCGGTAACTCGCCCTCTCAGGCAAACCTGAAGATAGCGGCAAGTCTCCGGTGGGAGGGGGGGGGTGGTGTGGAGAGGCGGAGACGCTCTTCTGCTTGATTCTCCACCCCCCCTCCCTTCCTCGTGATAGGCAATGGGCTCAGCCAACCGACGCTGCAGCCTCGGACCGCGCTGTCCAATCGGCATCCGAGTTGGAGCGGTGGGCGTGCCCACTGGCGAGGCAGGTGGGCTAGGCTGTGCCGGGTTGCGAAGGAGGGGGGGGTGGGAGGGGGGAGAATAACGTCGGGTCGGGTCAGCGGGCGCTGCAGTAGTCGCCGCAGCGGCGATGGGAGCGGTGGGGACGAGGCGGCGGCGGCGGCAGGAGGAGGAGGAAGAGGAGGAGGAGCAGAGGCTGACACAAGAGCAGCGGCCGGGGGCGGCCTGCAGCAGCCCCAGCAGCAGCAGCGGCGGCAGGAACGGCAGCAGCAGCCGCCGCCGCCACCGCCAGTAGACGCGGACCGTACCCGAGGGGACTCGGCGGCCGGCCGGCCCTCGGAAGCCGCGCTCGGGTCCCGCCGCAGTGGGCGGCGGGGGATGGGCAGGCGGCGGCGGCGCTCCCGCCTGCCGAGGGGCGTCCCCTGAGGGCCCGGGCCCTCCACCCCAAATCTCTACGTCCGCCGCGGCCCAGGTAGGACACACCCCCCCCTCATCTCCTGTCCCCCACCGAACCCCAGGGCGCAGCTGGGGGGAAGGGGGTCCCTCCAGCCCGACCGCGCCCCCCCACCCCTCGCCTGACGAGGAAGGTGTGTGTGGGGGGGGTCGTAGGTCGCTGCCCACGCCCTGGGTAGACCCGGCCCCCCTTCGCCTCGGAGGGCGTCCTCCCCCCGACGCCCCACCCCCACCCCAGGCCGAACTCGGGAGGGTCACGGAGCTGCGTCTGTGGGTGACCCACATATCACCTGTGCTCCTCACGCCGCTCTCGTCACCCGGGGGGGGGGGACCGAACGCCGCCGAAGGTTCTTCAAAAGGCCCGGGGGTGGGGGGGGGATTCCGAAGTAGGAGCGGTTTCTTTCATTCCCCCCCACACACCCCCACCACACACACACACACACACACCCTCGTGTGTGGGGGCCTGTGGAGCCCCTCCCCTCAGCTGTGCCCGCCAACGTCGGGGTGTGGGGGGGGCGGTTAGTTACTTGGGGTGCCCAAGTGTCAGGGCCCCCAGGGAAATTTCTGGCGTTGACTAGAGATGATGGTGTTGATAAGCTGGGGTGCCCGGGGTGGGGTGGGGAGTGTGTGGGGGGAACAAAAGATGCCCCCCCACTCCGCGCCGTCAGAATCGGGGTGCCCGGACACCTTGCCCTACCTACAGTGAAGTTTATTTTGTGTCCGTCGGGGCTGCAGGCAGGCAGAGGGGGAGGGAAAAAAAATGACATTGAGTCGTACCCTGCTTCCGAATGAAAGTTGCTGGGCGGCCGCAGCGCCGGTGCTGACGGGCCGCCTGCCTCCCCTGCTCCGGACACGGTGCTTGCTTTGAATATTGAAGAGGGTGGGTTTTTATTTTATTTCATTATTGTCGTCATAACCGTGAGTGATTGTAGCCTCTGTATGATGCGGAAGTAATTGGATATTCAGTAGTTAGGTTACAAATGGGCATATCTGTGTGTGTGTGTGTGTGTGTGTGTGTGTGTGTACACCACATAGACACACAGTTTGGTTACAGTGTTTGACACTGTGAGCCATTGGTAGTTGTGTTGGTATTGAAGCACTGGGTTTACTAGAACAGACACTGTGTGTGTGTGTGTGTGTGTGTGTGTGTGTGTGTGTGTTTGGCTAGGAAGAGTTCATTTAGGGGACAGAATGTGAAATGTTCCCTCTTTTTAACTAAAGCCATAGTGATAACAGATATAACAATATGATTAATCTTGGAGAATGTTTCCAATGATGAGTAAGTATGTGGACTTAGGGTGGTATATAGTGATCCATACAAATTAGAAAAACATTGAAAGGACTCTTTAGTTTGGAGGTTTGTATTTCCTGTATGAGATGTCTTCACACTGGATGCTGGAAGCATAATTACAAAGGAAAGTTTTTCCATATGGTCCAGTGTTAGGAAGCGCTCTTTTTCTCTTAGAGTTTGGACACATAAATAAAGCTGCAGGTGTGCTCAGCAGTAGAGTGCCTGCCTGGCAAGCTTGGGGCCCTGAGTTCAAACCCCCATACCACAAAAAAGCCCATTGCTTCCATAATTTAATTTATAATATCAAATTGAAGCAAATTTGATCATGAGTAGGGAGCTAAGAATACTATATCTTGCTGATTATCTTGTACTATGATTCATACATAATTTAGTCAATTCTCTATTAAACATGACTTCAGATTTTATGTCTTCTTTTCGCTTTTAAGTACTGATTATTTTAATACCTCAGGAAAGTCAGGCAAATTGAACTCAATTATATAGAACTTCTTTAAAATGTAGTGTTAGTAGTGAAATTTGTATAAATTAGACAATTTTGAGGGCATTTTACATCAAAATATGAAAGGCATGGCTGTTGGTTTTTCAAAGTAAATGAATATCATAGTCATGATCATAGAATTTAAAACTCACTTTGGTGATGGGCAGGGAATTGAATTCTTTGTATGTTTTACAGTTTTAAAAAATAGTTTATTGGGCTGAGTGCCAGTTACTTATGCCTGTAATCCTAGCTACTTAGGAGGCTGAGATCTGAGGATCAAAGCCAGCACAGGTAAGAGGGACCCTAAGATTCTTATCTACAACTGAATACCAAAAACAACAACAACAACAACAACAAAAAAACCTGTAAGTGGAAGTTTGGCTCAAGCATAGAACTCTAATCTTGAGCAAGAAAGGTAAGGGATGATGTGCAGGCCCTGAGTTCAAGCCCTTGTACTAGCCATAATAATTTATTCAGATGACATCTTAATTTCAAATTATGGGTTACCTTTAGCTAAAACTACCAAGCTAAAATACTTCCAATTTTTTTTAACAGTGCTATGGTTTGAACTGAGGGGTCTGGGATAGCTAGGATTACAGATGTAAAACACTGTGCTCAGTTTATTGTTGAGATATGAGGTCTTGCTTTTTTCCCAGCCTGGCCTTGAGCCTCCCAATCTCTTGCCTCCTGAGTAGCTGGGATTATTAGGGTGAGCAACCACACCTGTCTACCTTCAGATTCTAAAGCCTCAGAGACTGTGAGACAGTAGATTTGCTGCTTTCAAAACAGATTACGGGAAATATTCAGTAGCCATTATGAACAAGTGTGAAATGGACTGATCACCAAAATAAAATAAACTTGGAGTATTAATGGAAATAGTAATGGAATATAGCTTCCTTTCTCACTTTAAGGTCCCATAGGAGAAGTTCTTCTATAGATAATGTGACCAGCAGCCTTTTCAGTTTGAGGTCATGTTACTAACAATTACTCTAGGAATCTCTTGATTTTTGCTCTTTCTTTCTCTCCTTTTTTTTTTTAAAGTAATTTTTCAGTACTGGGGATTGACCCAGCCTTGTGCCTGCTAGGTAAATCCATTAGAGCTCCACCTCTAGTCTATATTTGTATATACACATATAAATGTGCATACCATGTGATTTTTGTTGTTTTATTTATTCATTTATTGTAAAAGTGATGAACAGGGGGCTTACAGTTAAATAAGTAAGGTAATGAGTACATTTCTTTTTAAACAGTTACCCCCCTTTCTCATTTTTTTCCCACTTACCACTCCCTACTCCCCCCCTCCCAAGTTATAAAGTTCATTTTCAACATAGTGTCTAGTGAGTATCATTGTTGCATTGACCCTTCCACGGGTCAAATAAGCTTATATATAAGACAAAGGACAAAATAGAAATAACTGCAAGCCCTAGCCTTGAGCAAAAAGAAGCTCAGGGACAGTGCTCAGGCCCTGAGTTCAAGCCCCAGGATTGGCAAAAAAAAAAAAAAAAAAAAGGTTAGATAAATGGGATTGCATTAAACTGCAGAGCTTCTGCATGGCAAGGGACATAGCTACCAAGATAAATAGAAAGCCCATAGATGGGGTGAAGATCTTCACTAGCCATACAACAGAAAAGGGCCTCATATCTAAGATATACTTAGAACTCAAAAAATTAAACCCTACAAAACAAATCGTCAAAGAAATAACCATCCCATTAACAAGTAGGCTAAAGACTTAAAGAGAGACTTTCCTGAAGAGGAAATAAGAAAGGCTCAACTTCAAATAAGATCTGCTCAACATCTCTGGCGATAAAAGAAATACAAATCAAAACAGCATTGAGATTCCACCTTACCCCAGTTAAAATGGCCATTATCAAGAAATCTAATAACAACAGATGCTGGTGGGGATGTGGCCAAAAGAAAACACTAATACACTGTTAGTGGGAATGTAAACTTGTTCAACTACTCTGAAAAGCAGTATAGAGGATCCTCAAAAGACTAAGCATAGAGCTCCCCTATGACCCAGCAATCCCACTCCTGGGCATTTACCCAAATGACCTCAAATGAGGCCATACTAAAGCTACCAGCACCACCATTTTCATTGCAGCATTATTTACTACAGCTAAGCTATGGAACCAACCTAGATGGGTATCTTCAGTTTTTACAGTTTTGAAATGAAACACTTTTAATGCTATTTTACTTCGTTTTCTTCTTGCTGTTGCTGTTGGCAGCCAGTATATTGTAAATAATAGTGATAGTAGTAGCAGTTTTACCCCAAAGCTTCAGAGAACAGAACATTTTCCACTGAAAATATACAGTGCTTTTAAGACAAATTATGGTAAACTTTGGTGAACATTTTTTTAATGTGTGTGCCAGTCCTGGGGCTTGAACTCAGAGCTGGGGCACTGTCCCTGAGCGTCCCTGAGCTTTTTTTCTCAAGGCTAGCACTCTGCAACTTAAGCCACAGCTTCATTTCTGGATTCAATTTTAGTGGTGAATTGGAGACAATAGTCTCACAGGCTTTCCTGCCCAGACTTGCTTCGAATTACAGTTCTCGGATCTCAGCCTCCTGCATGGCTAGGATTATAGTCATGAGCTGCTTATATCAGGCAAATGAGTGTAGTCTTTAAAATTACATTAAAAAATTTGTTTTCACTTCATTAGGGGTAAAATTCCCCAATGTAAAAAGTTAACTGTTCTTTGAAAAATAATCTGGATCTATAATCATGTGTCCTTAAAAATGGGAGGTAGAAAGTAGTTTATTGGCTTTCTCTGGTGACCTATCAAGATTGGACTAACAATTTATTTTTTTTTGGGGGGGGGGGTCCGGTCGTGGAGCCTGAAGTCTGGGCCTGAGCGCTGTCCCTCAGCTCTTCAGCTCAAGGCTAGCACTCTATCACTTGAGCCACGGCCCCACTTCCAGCTTTTTTCTTTCTGCTTTTGTGGTGCTGAGGAATCGACCCAGGGCCTCATACATTCAAGGCAAGCACTCAACCACTGAGCCACCTTCCCAGCTCTATCTCCTCCCCCACCCCCCACCTTGGTCTAGTACTACCTCCATTTCTAAACTATCTCGAAAAAATAGTTTTATCACATTTTTCAGTGACTAATAAAGCAGCAATGGGGAATGAAATTTTCTGCTTTGTTAATCCTCTCTGAAAAATATTTGTATGTACACATACAGAGAAGTATGCTTTATTGATTGTGTGAATGTGCGCACGCGTGCACGCACGCGTGT